CCAGGACCCATCCTGGGCCCAAGTGGCTGGCCCATAGGTCTTAATTATTTCCTTAGGAGTCCATATTTTACATTTCCATGCCTGGGAACACCCCATATCTACTATATTTCTTTTCTTTCAGCTTCCCTTTCTTAGATCATCATAAAGTGGGATCCCTAAGTTTGATCCAGATTCCTTTGGTAAGAAAGAAGGCTTAATGATTCTTACTGTACAACTCCCCTCCCAGTCCCCTGGGAGGTGGGTATAGGCCATATTTCCACAGATCCAGAACAGATGTTCTGGAGCTGTCCAAAATGCATCTTTTAGTTCCATTGGGTATTCACAATCTTTGGATATTTCCCTAATTCCCCAAAAGGGATTTACCCCCTTTCCAGCACATTCATATAGTTGGTATCCTTCATGGAAAATGCACCCCTTTTCCTTTTTTCCAATTGACCAGTACTTGTTTGGTTCTCGAGGGACCCATTTTATACCTGAATCTTTTATCATTAAGTACCTCTTGCAAGCCATTTTTCCCACATAGGTTGTTTATCCTCTTCCAGTCCTTTTTATACACTCTTCTCCAATTATCTTTGCCTTTAAGTCCCACTGTTCTCTTCTTCTCAGTCCCTTGGTTTGGAATTTAGGTTTTGTTAATTTCCATCTTAGAATATCTAGTGGTCCTAAACCAATCCCTTCCCAGGGCCAGACCTCAGACATCTGCGTGTTTCTGCACACCCAGTAATTGGTTAAATTCAACTCTCTACTAATTTTTTCAATCAGGTCTATAAACAAATAATTTCCTAAAGGTTCATCCACCTCTTTTTTCTTTACCATTAACTGTTTCTCTTTAATTATGTCTCTTATTCCTTCATTTTCAAAGCAAAACCAAGTTTCTCCAACCGGACGTTCCCTGAGCAGGTGTTGCTTAAATGTGGCTGTGTTTTTTGTGATCCAATAGGTTTTCCCATCTTCCCAGCATGTGTCCAACTGGGAATGGTCAAAGCAAGTGGGATTTGTATTTGTATGGACTCTCATTAAGGATCCCAGATTCTCCCCATCATAAAGGAGTTGATAGCATTTTGTGCAGGGATTTTCCTTCCCTCTCACATAGACGAGAAGCAAGCTTAACACCAAGTTTACCAAGAGTCCAGTATGAGCTCGTTTTCCTGCAGCAAGCCTCATGTCCTTAGTCTCACCCGGTCTTGCCTCTTGGACAAGGTGTTTTTGTGGGAATGGCAGAGTCCTTTTTTATTATTCTCACTTTTTAGTAATTTTTGTAAGCCGTCAAGAAATGCTTGGTGGGAGAAGCTAATTTTTATAGTAGTATATAAACTTATAATAGCAACAACTAGCAACAGTAGCAACAATTGTAGTACTCTATTAATAGCAATTTTAGCTTCAGTTACCACAGTCTCTTAGTCTCTTGCTGATATGTTTGAGCCTGTAAGTTCTTCAGTTCACCTTGGGATGTTTTTTGAGAGTTACTTTAAGGTTGGTTGGATCTCTGGTGGCAATCCACTGAGAGGGAACCTTTGGTGATTCATCTGAGCTCAGTCTGCCATCACGTGGGGATACCAGTCTTTTTACTCAGATAATATGGGTCCAGCCTTTTTCTTGAGTGTTCACAGCGGTGTGGGATGTCAGCAGTACCTGGAATGGACCCTCAAATTTAGGGGTTAGTGGGGTGGTGTTCCAAGATTTTATTAAAACACAATCTCTGGGATTAATTTGATGAACATCTACATCAAGGGGAGAAGTTTGGGGAAGATACCCTCTTTTCCTTAGACTTTCTAAGGTTTTGTTGATAGTTTTTAGATACGTGCGGGTTAAGGCCTCTCCTTCTAGATAGTCTGCTGTGCTGTATGGGGTGAGTAGGAAGGGTAGCCCAAACATCATTTCATAGGGAGACTCCCCTGTGTCTGCTCGTGGTCTCGTGCGAATTCTCAGAAGGGCAAGCGGTAAGCACTTGAGCCAGCTTAGGTGGGTTTCTATGATTAATTTAGTTATTACATTTTTTAAGGTCTTGTTCATCCGCTCTACCCTTCTGGAACTCTGGGGGTGCCATGGGGTATGAAGCCTCCATTTTATTCCCAAAGCCTCGATGATGCGATGTAGAGTTTGGGCAATAAAATGGGGGCCTCTGTCGGAGTCCATGTTATTGACTAGACCATACCTGGGGATTATTTGTTCTATTAATATTACTACCACTTTGGCAGTTTCTCGTTTGGTGGGGAAAGCTTCAACCCAGTGAGTCAGATGGTTGACTATTACCAGCAGGTATTTATAGCCCTGCACTGCAGGCATTTCAGTGAAGTCAATTTGTATGTTTTGAAATGGTCTCAGAGCTAATTCTCTTCCCCCAGGTATGGTCTTTCTCATGGCCTTTTGATTTACCTTTTGGCAAATTACACATCCCTCAGTAACTGCCTTTGCTAGGTTATACACCCCTGTGCGTACGTTATCTCTTAAGAAATGATCACACAGTCCCTGAGTTCCCCAGTGGGTGAGTCCATGGATTTCTGTTAAGATTTTTTGGGCCAAGGCCTTATTTAGGAATTTACGCCCATCGGATGTTATCCATTCTCCACATTCTCCCAGATGTAGGCCTAATTCTTTTGTTGCTTTTAATTCTTTTTCTATAAAAGTTTGCTTTGTTTTTTCCTTTTCCCTGTCTGCTGGTGTTTCATTTAATTTCAAGATTTTGGCTGAATCACCTGGATCTATGGCTGCTTCTTTTGCCATCTGGTCGGCTAAGAGATTCCCTTTCTTTTCCAGGGTATCTCCCTTTTGATGCTCTTTTATATGTACAACAGCTATTACTAAGGGTTTTGGTAAGGACCCTATTACTGATTTTATCAGTTCTTCATGTACTAAATTCTTTCCTTTTGAATTTAAATATCCACGTTCTTCCCAGATCTTTCCAAACGTATGGACTATACCAAAGGCATATTTTGAATCTGTGTAGATTGTCCCTCTCTCTCCTTCTAATAGATCTAATCCTCTTTTTAGGGCATAAACCTCACAGCATTGAGCCGACCAGTTGGTTGGTAACTTTCCTTTTTCTACAGTATTTAGTTCTCCCTCTCTTACCACCACTACTGCATAACCAGAGGCTCTTTTTCCATTTACCACCCTTGAAGACCCATCAGTGAATAAGGTCTTTCCATAAGGTAAGGGGAGATCTTCAAGATCTTATCCTGGTCTGATAATTTATGAGCGCTAAATAACTATGTTCTATTTCACCTAGAGGGTAGCCTGAAAGAAACTGAGCAGGGTTCAGACACTGAGAGGTAACTATTTCCAAATCCTCAGTGTTCATTAGAATAATTTCATACTTTAATATTCTTGGGTCTGTTAACCATTGTTGGGCTTTCTGACTAAGTACCGTTTTCAGGTCATGGGGTGTGTACACTTTAATCTTTCCTAGTAGGGTCAGTTTTTTTTGCTTCTTCTTAGGATGGCAGTTGCAGCAATTGCCTGGAGGCAAGTGGGCCACCCCCTTGCAACAGGATCTAATAATTTTGAAAGGTATGCTTTGGGTTTTTTTTTCTCTCCCCGTTCCTGAGTTAGTACACCATATGCGGTACCTGTCTCTGTGTTAACACATAAATGGAACTCTTTCCAGTGGTCTGGTAGGCTTAACACCAGTGCTGAAGATAGTTTGTTCTTTAAATCTTTTAGCTGTCCTTCATCTTCAGCTGTCCACTTGACTAGCTCAGGGTCTACTAGTTTTTCATAGAGAAATTTGATACTTTGTGGGCACTGATCTATCCATAATTTACAATAGCTGAATAATCCCAATAGTTTCCTTATGTCCCTCTTAGTTTTTGGAGCAGGTATGGACATCAGGCCAGCAATTCTCTCTGGGCTTAGTTTTTTAAATCCTTCTCCAATAATGTGTCCTAAGTAAGTTACTTCCGATTGTACAAACTGTAATTTGTTCTGAGATACTTTCAGGCCTTTGGTACCTAAGAAATTTAGAATCCTGACATTTGTTATTTTTACTTTATCTTGCTTTTCTTCATATATTAATAGATCATCTATGTATTGTAGAATCTGAACACCCTCTTCCGGAGTAAATTGTTCCAAAATACCTTCTAACACTTGTCCAAAAAGACTAGGGGACTCAGTGAATCCCTGAGGTAAGCGTGTCCACCTCACTTGCTGTTTCCTACCCCTCTTAGGGCACTCCCATTCAAAAGCAAACCAGTCCCTGCAATTTTCTGCGAAAGGACATGCCCAGAAGGCATCCTTTAGGTCAGCCATGGTAAACCATGCATGTGTTCTTGGTATTTTACTTAGCATGGTATACGGGTTGGGCACTACTGGGTGTCTAGAAATTGTTCTTTTATTTATTTCTCTTAAATCTTGGACTAATTGATATTTTCCTTCTGCTCTCTTTATTGCTAAGATGGGAGTGTTGTGTGGGGACATGCAGGGTTCTAGAATACCTTCAGCTAAGAGGTGTTCTATTACAGGTATTAGTCCTTGTTTTCCTTCTAAAGATATTGGGTACTGTTTTACTCAGACAGGGGGGCCCTCCTTCTGCATTTCCACCTGGATTGGTGGGATGTCCAAATAGCTAAATTTTCCTTCTTGGGCCCATACTTCCGGGTTTATCTCTTCTAAATCCTGAGTGGTTAGCCTCATGGTCTGGACTACCATTTTTCCACCTTTAGGGATAACTCCTACACCTAATTGGACTTGTTAAGTCCCTGCCTAGTAAGTGGCTTTCTAAATGACGTAGATAAATTAAGTCTGCAAAACACTGCCTTGAATTCCCTTTTATTTTGATGCCTTCTGCTATGAAGGCTTTGAAAGGCCTTCCTTCTGCCCATAATACGTCACAAGTTCTTTCCCCAACTTTTATCCCTACTGGAAGCTTATTAATACTTGATTGCTCTGCTCCTGTATCTACTAAAAACTCAAATTCTTCACTCTGGGGACCCACTTCAAAGTTTACCAAGGGCTCTTCATGATGGTCCATTGGGTCCCCCATTAGGTAGAGCCCTTGACACCTATTCTCTATCTCTCTCTCCCTTTAGGATTTTCTCTAGGGTGTCGTGTTCTTTTTCAGTAGCTCGGTCCATTGCCAGTTTCCTACAGTCTCTTCTGAAATGCCCTACTTCTTCACAGTAGTAGCACTTGTGGTCCTCCCTGACCCTTTTGGGGGTAACCCAAGGTGGTCTAGGTGCATTCCTACCCTCCTTTGGTGGAAGTCTTGTCTCATTTCCACTTGAGTGGATTTTATCCACCTCCCTAGCCACAGCCATCATTATTCTCACCTTAGTTTTTGCTTTCTCCTCCTCTCTTCTCGGATACACCCTTAAAGCTTCCTTCAATAATTCGTTCATTCCTTTCTCTTGCCGATCTTCCAGTTTCTCTAACTTCCTCCTAATGTCTGGCCAAGATTTGGTGACAAATTGCACTTTTAATAACACTTGGCCCTCAGGACTATCAGGGTGAATGTTAGAATATAATTGAAAATTTCACCTTAGTCAGTTAAGCCAAGAGGCTGGTGTTTCATCTTTCTTTGAGTCCCATCAAATGCCAATTTGGTGTTGTTTCCTCGAGGTACAGATTCTTTTATCCCTCTAACTATCAGAGATCGATAGTCTTCCATGTTTCTCCTCCCCTCTTCTTCATTTGGGTCCCACCCGGGGTTCACTAGAGGTAGTTTACAATCCCCTGGAGGCCCCAGCCGGTTCTCCCTTTCCCAAATTCTCATGCCTGCAGCTCTGATTAACCTAACCTCCTCTGGGTTAAAAGATCATGTTCAGGATTGAATTTAGTTCTCCCCAGGTATAGATATTTGGACCCAAGAGCTGGTCTATTTGGTTAGACATTCCTACTGGGTCTTCTACCAGATTTCCCAGTTCTTTCTTAAAACCTCGCACTTCAGAAGCTGTCAAGGGGACATTTACGAAGCCGACTCCCCTAGCTACTTCTCCCATAGGAACTTCCCTAAGGGAAGAGATCTTTTCTACCTTTGAGATTTTAGATCGGGTATTGCAGTATGGCCCCTCTGCCGGATTTATACTAGAGGGAGAACTTGAAGAGGAGTTGGATAAACTTAATTCCCAATTAGGAGGAGGTAGTGGGAGAGTAGCAGGAGCAGGAGAGGAAGATGAGCCCATAGGTGGAGACACAGGGAAGGGAATTGAGAAAGTTGGTAGAGGGGTTGAAGAGGGGACTGAAGGTGTGACAGGTAGGGGCTTTGGATTTTGGGCACAGATGTTTACATTTGAGGCAGGAGATGGTGAAGGGATAACCAGGGCTGGTGGAAGGTGTGGGCTTACAGTATTAGGTGAAGGTGGTAGCAGGGTCACGCCTGCTGGAAAAATAGAAGTTGCAGTTTTCAAGGAGTGAGGGAATGGGGTTTCAGTGGAAGGAGAAGCTGGGGAAGGACTCGTGTTTATTTGGGTAATTGGGGAGGGGTTTCAAGGTAGAATTGCAGGGGGGGCTAGGAAAGGGATTTGGGGCATTGCTGGGTATACTGGGGTAGGAGGAAGATAGTCTAGGGGATCCTATTTGCTCTGAACTTCTTTCTCTGACTCCTTTCCTTCTTTATCCCCTCTTTCTTGTTCTTGCTTCTTAAGTTTATACATCTTAACAGTCTCTTCTTTAGTGAGATCTCTTTCCCAACAAGCCATATAGGATATTTGTTCTAAATTAGGGGTATCTTGACCCCTTAAATAGCAGTTAAGTTGGGAACAAACCCAGGGATCGTTGGACCCATACCACGGCCACTCTGCTTGTAATTCTAGATTGGGCCAAATCTCTATGCAATAACGAATCATTTTAACTTTATCAAGGCCCTTTGTGGTATTACATGTCTCCCATTTGTCTAACAATTGCCCCAGTGGACTGTCGAGAGGGATGTTCTTTTGTGTCTTCCTCTTTTTCTGGGATTTTACTTCCTTATACACTTCCCCATCCTTGTGCCTCTACCCCAACAGAAGAATTAAAGAGAGGCAAATTAATCTCTAATCAACACAAACTCGGTTCTTACTCTAGCAGGGTTCTATAGCCTGGATGATCTTGAGGCCTAGCCCCTCAATCCAGCTGCCTATAGTTCCCCTGGTTCTCTTTCGAGGGGTGGGTCTGATGGGGCTCTCCCTGGCCCCCTGCCCACCCTCGATCCGGGGTTGCTAGCCCCTTCTGAGAGTCCCGTCCCAACGGGGTAGCACTCCCCTTCCCAGCACTCCCCTGCATGTGACTCATACCTGCCCCAGTCCTTATGTGCCCAGGCCTACTTGGGGTCTGCAGGTCATCACACCAAATTATATCCTCCACCCGCCTGGAGTTTTCCCAAGGGAGACGCCTCAAACTCTCTTTATCCAATCGCTTCCCCTTGTTCCCGGCCAGCAGCCAGCCCCCTTGCGGTAGTCTGGAACCGCAGTAGTAGACGGTCCTCACTTGCTCCAGGGGTCTGAGCTGCCAGCCCTTGTCTCACTCACTCTCACACTCAGTTGTCTCCCTACTCCCACTGCTAGTCACTCACCAGTGTCTGACTGACGCTCCTTGGAGTTGACGTCCCAGGCTGAATCCTTGGTCCGTGATAGCCGATCTCCCCACAAAGGTCCAACAGGCAGTGGTCACTCAGTGGTCTTCAGTGGGCGTGGCTATCCTGGACTAGCCCCCAACTGAAAGGAATTGACCAGGAGACAAGACTCCTGTACAGAGCTGGGGCTTCTGTCCTCATGAGAGTAGCCAGGGGGCCTGATGTTCTGGCTCGTTGTCTAGGGGGGTCAGTCCTTTCCAGTCCTCTTGAGGTCATGGTGATACAGGAAGATGGTTTCTAAGCAGGCTTAGGTGATGCAGGGAGATGATCTTTCATCATAGCTTGCTAGAATATGTTTCTTTGTCCTTCTATTCCTCTGTTAGCTCGTTGTTTTGGTGTCTTGCATGCCTTAGTTTGCATATTACTTGGTTGCACAGCTTCATGGGAGTTGCTTTGTTCTAGAGTGGCACAGCTTCCATGGGAGCAGGTTCTGTGGCATACCTTTCTAATGAGTTGCTTTTATTAGTGTGGCCCGACCCCCATGGGAGCAGCTTTGTTACATAGCAGCAGGGAAGTAAGGGAAAGGGATAGAGGAGTGTCTCATAAGAACCTTTAAAACACTTCAGAAACTGTTAAGTAATTAACATTACTAATAACCATCAGAGTAAACAAGGGGTACAACAAATAAGGTTTACAAATGGGATAAGAACATTAACTGTACATAACTAAACACAGTATTTTAACCGGGGTGGATTGCTTGAGAGATTTTATTCATGACAACTCCATGTACCTGAGAATGTTGTCCAAACACTGCTTGAGCTCTGTGAAGCTTGGCGCTGTGACCCCTTCCCTGTTCCAGTGCCCAAGCACCCTCTGCGGGAAGCAACTTTTCCTGATATCCGGCCTAACCCTCCCTGGTTCAGTTCATGCCATTTCTTCAAATCCTGTCCCTGGTCATTAGACTGAAGGGATCAGCACCTGCCCCTCCACTGCCCTTCATGAGGAAGCTGAAGACCTCAATGAGGTGTCCCCTCAGTCTCCTCAAATACAAATAAATCTCTTGGACACTTGAGGATTTCCTGTAGGTAAACAAGAGGATTTCCTACACCTTAGGTGCTCAGTGCATGGATCTGCTACTGTGCATTATCACAACAATGAAAAAAAGGAATTTTCAGTATATTGTTTTCAGATTTAGGTTACGAAAGAGAAGTGAACATGCAATTTTGTTATTATTTTGATTCTAGAAAACTGCTTTTATATTTATGCTAAATTTATATAATTGCTTTTTACTGCAAAATGTTCTTTTTTGGCCAATCTGACACAAGCCATTTGTGTCTGAATTGAGGTGTAAAGATTTGAGCCAGAAACTGAAATAAAGTACCAGGCTTTTGTCACTGGTTCCTAATCCCTACTTTCCAGAAGCCTTGTTTGGTAATTAGCTTTCAATGTAAAGTAGGAGGCTTTGATCAGCTTTTGAGTACCCCAGACAAAGCTCTTCATATTTGCAGAAGGAAACGAAACATTATTACTGTGAAACATTTCCTATTCAAAGGAAATTTTCATGCTTTTTTTTATATTTTGATTGTTTTGATGTTATATGGTTTTTATTTAATTTTTTTTCATGTTTTGACATGAAGTTACCATCAGATTTTGAATCTTGCTCTTTTAAAGAGATTTAATGCTGATGGTTTCTTTCTGATCCTGTCAAGATGGAGTAATTGGTTATGGAGTATAAGAATTAGCCATTGTTGGCATGAGCATCTGAAAATTGAAGCTTTTTAATAGAATTCTATGTGGGTTTGGTGATCTTTTTTCCCTTTCTGGTGACATGTTTTTTGTTTTGGAATTCTTAGTCAGTAAAGCACTTTATGGCTGAAAATTACTTCCCCTGATGAGGCAAGTCAATGTACCCTTTGTAAAGGGGAGATTATATCAACTGATAATATTAGGCATTAAAATATCTTAAAAATATTAAGAATTTAAGAAAATGAGAATATTTGCTGCTGAATTAACTGATCAACTGTTTCCTAAAACAAAGAAGTAGAGGCAAGAAGAATATCTAATGGATATGAAGGAAGGAGTTTTTGGGAAGATGTCACTTCTTAGGATGCCAGCACCTAAGCATGACAAGAGGATTCTCTGACTTTTAAAATCTAAGAATCCACTTCCTATTTATTTAAGAGGTTTTAAATTGAGCCCCTGAGTTTTATTGCATCCTACTACTCTTCCATGTTTGAAGGTGTAATAGCAAAATTGTTATTGTGCTTTCTGCCAGAAACGTAAGAAGTGACTAGAAGTGGTCGAAAGTCACATTGGAATAATCATGGTTTGGATTTATGTGGGAAAGAACTCGGCTGCTGTGGAAAACAGAGTAGTAAGAGATGTACAGATTTTCCTGAGGCATGTTGTGAAATCACTACAAAAGTTTGTAGTTAATTGTTTGTTTGCCTTTACTCCCAAACCAAAAATGTCACTCCTTAGAAAACACTGATGGAGGCTTAAAAATTTAGGAAGGGTTCCCTGCCTTTCCTCTTTTTAAATCTAGCCTTGGGCTATGTTTCCAGATTCATGGAAGAGCCCAGTTATGTCGAGAAATTCTAGCTGATTAAGCACTAGTGGAAATGTAGAAATGGCACATAGTAGAAGTTTGGATCAGATTTCAGCTGGAGTTTCTCAGCTTGAAACTTTCAGCACTTAAAATTCTGTGCATTTGTCTGTGAAGTAAGAGATCCTGGCTTATCTCACACTATTCAATGGCTGTCATTTCAGGAGGTTGTTTAGGAAGTGCGTATGCATATGGGTGGTGTGTAATGAAGGTTGCTCTAGTACAAGGGAGAGTATTTTTGGGTTTTTGTTTGGTTTTTTCCACATTTATAATCCTTTGAGAATCTGGTCTGGTGGAAGATGTCCCTGTCCTTGGCAAGGGGTTTGAAACTAGATGATCTTCCAA